ACACATACTTTGGGTAGAAGAATTAGGAAAAAAAGGGCTAAATCACGCAACTAGTTTTGGCTAGAGTAAGGGAGTGTCTTAGGCTTTGCCTTTGCCTTCTCTCTTATCAAATATGACCCCCGATCCCTTTCTTTGGTTACGTAGACCTAAAAAATTCTTTAAAAAGGGTTTGTTTACTTTTCTTTCCAAAAACAAAAATCATTTTTGGGTGACTTGGTATACCCTAACTCTATACCAAGTGGCGACTCCTTTTCTATCTAAAACCCTTTGTTTGGCCAAACCGTCGCATTTCACAATCCCACGGCCTTTTGTTTTCAACTTTCACACACGTTCACATACATATCCTACACACTACTCTCACACATCAAAAAGTGGGCGCGATAGCTTGACGACTCCACTGAGGAGCTGGTCTTGTGTGAATTGCAACAGTCGACCATTGACTGACCTTAGCTCATATTCTCGAGTTTTTTTTTCTGCACTTCCTTCATTTACTCTAGAGTAGGATTAGCTGTTTTGGAGGGTATTTTTGAAAAATTTTACTGTAGCAGTGTATATGAAAAATATTTACTATTAAATTTTTTTGAAATATTTGATATATTGTATGAATGAAACATTTTTTGAGTTATTATGTATTAGCGTAACATTATATTTGAAAAACTTGTTTTTGAAAAAAATGACCAATCCAAACGGAGTTATAATACATCACAAAGTAACTGGTGCAACAATAGTTTCTAGTTATTATCGAGTTAGCATTTGGAAGTAAACATTCACAACAGTTTCTGTTGATTAGACCTTTTTTCTTTTAAATTTATAACTACGACTGGTTAGGGGAGGATTTGACTTGGTAATTGGAATTGATTTATATATGTTTATGACAGTCAATTTTTATTAAGCAGCTTCTTCAAAGCAAAAGTCCAAGGGTTAATTAAGAAGATTTGGCCCCAGAGCTGGGACTTGTCTTTTAGGGACCATGGCACTATAGTAACAGATTATGCTTGATTTCTCAAACCATGTACAGACAGTGGACATGGACACAATACAGAATTACATTGTACTATCTTGGAAGACACTACGAAAGTTGGTAGAACTCACAGATAAATTATACCCAATTTGTACATGTAAGAGTTAGGAGTTTGTGTTTATGATTCACAAACGGTAAATTTAGTTGATCTGAGGACTCTACGAAGCCACTATAAATATGGACTAAATTGACTAAATTCACTGTAAATATGTTAATTCCAGCCACTTGTAAATTGTAATCTAGGTATGCAAAAATGTTTTATTTGCCCTTGTCGGAATCAATTAGTTTCAGAAGTCTCTTATTTATGTTTAGTGAACTCATTAGTGAGTTCAGTGGCAAGTTTCCCTGCTTGCACAATGTTTGGGTACCGAGGTTCCTAGGTTCAAGTATCATATTAAAGAAGAAAATTATAATTAATCATCAAATGATGGCTGCACATTAATATATATGTTGATTAACTAAGCACACAACCATGAGACTCGAACCTGACACATCTTACTATAATTTCTTCAACTTATTTTACTACCAGAACAATGCCTCATTAACATCACAGTCATGGTCATATCATAAAATTCTATCCTTATAGATTCAAGAAATTGCACCGTTGGTTTCTTTGATGAACCGTGTTAATGTGAGTTCTTACTATGGTGCCAAATTGCTTAGCCCTTTTTTTCCACGAAAAAGGTTTTGAATGTATCAATCTGGGCCATGTTGAGCAGCTAATTAAAGTATGTGGCTCCTCCTGCAACATCAGAGATTCAACAAATGTAATTGACTATAACATGCCAATCCTACTCTAGAGTCTTCCTCTCTTCACATGCTGCTGATCATGAACTAAATCGTCCAAGCACAAAGTCACAAGACTTCACTCAAAAACAGATTTTGGTAGTGTTAGTCTCCCTTGCCTGCATTTCCTGTCTCAGGATTTCCTGAAACATTTTAAAAGATAGTTTTGCTCCCTTTGAATTCTCAATAGTTTAGTTTGGGACCAATTGTAAAATGTCGTACTCAAAAAGTCTCCCTTGCCTTAATTTACTTTTTGTTGCCCGGGTTCAACTCGGATAATTTTGTCGGCAACATTTGCTACATACAATAGTTTTGTTGAAGTACCACTAGGGATGGCAATGGGGTGGGGGTGGGGCAGGGGACACCTCCCCCAACCCCCGCCTCGTTGCATTTTGAAAAAATTTTAATATATAATCTCATTATAATTAAATTTGAGTAAATAATTAAGTACTAAAATATCAACACATTACCAAATTATTATTCATTGTAATTTCACAATTGAAACTCATAAAAATAGTTAAACAAAGGTTATTTGAATACAATCTAATATGATAAAACAAATATAACTAAAATAATCAAGTTTCCACTTTTGATACAAATACAATCACTAAATTATTATTGTGTTTCTTTTAAAAAAAATCTTATTGTATTAAGTGTAGTTAGGAATTTAACATAAATGTATTAATAAATTTAGTATAAATAATTTTTATTAATAGACATGCATAATTGGTAATATAATTGATAATATCATTATATATATAATTATGTACATAGATATATATTTTAAAATGGGTGGCGGGGCGGGGGTTTCTAAACGGGGAGAAAAAATTCCCCCCGCCCCAATGATCCCCCGCGGGTACCTGCCCCCGTTGCCATCCCTAAGTACCACACATCCGTTTGCTATAGATTCTGTTGGATTTTTCTGCTCAACCTAAGATTCATTTTACGGTGCAATTGTTATTTTAATTTTCTTACACAGCAGTAACAACAAAAAGATTATAGACTAAAAGGACTTCATTTTTAGATGCATTTACCCATCAAAACTACCATCAATGGATTTCAAAGTCAACACTCCAAAAAAATATTTTTTTCCAAGTCAACTAATCATCACTCATAAAAGGAAACGCTCTGAAGAGTCAACAGAACAACTGTGCAACTCTGTAGCCAAGAAATACAGTAGACTAGTGTGGAACTAAAATACATTTTGAATCAATGACACAATTAGTTAATTTTATCTTGTCAAGCTCTTCATAATTATGCAGTTATTTTTTTTTAAAATCAGAAGCCACTAAAGTTACAAGTGGTAATTGCTAACTACTCTAAGTTATCTGAAACTTGTAACTTTGTACACCAATACTCACTATATTAGCACTTGTTTAATATATCTAAAGTTTTCTTCTAAAGTCGTCTGATCATTCCGCCTATTGGTTTTACCGGTAAAGAATGGTTAGAGTATTAGCTACAAGTATATTTTAGCGAATTATCCATCACTCAGTAGAATTTTCCTTTACAATAAAATAAATGCATCTTCATCCTAAGTATCAATGGATATGGAGCCCAGTATGAAATTGCTTGGGAACGAAAATACTACAAAATCTGACTGAAATTGTTTGATGAGAATTTCCTTCCATCAATAAATCAAAAGAGATTCCAAGTCAACATTCAACTTGGTTGGCCCTTTCTGTGTGAAAAAAGAATGAAGAAAAGAGAAGAATAGATTGTAGGAACCAAGAATAAAAACAAGATAAGATATTGAGTTGTCTTCTATTAGTACCATATATGTTTTTGTGGGGCAGAATTGCTAAGTAGGCCATAGCTGCATGTTTCTGCCGCACTGCAGAAAATTGCACAATCACACATTTGGACTGGCTTTTGGTGTGGACTGACCATTCAGGCATATACTTACTAGTTTTAATTAAAAACTTACTAAAGTTAATATTAATTAGTTTAATATAATATTTAAAAAGTCGCTAGAAAACTTGATCCGTCACTAAAGATAATAGAAACTTATAATAGTAGATTTTCTAATATCGTTACCGTAACTATAGGCACTGCAGCATTGCCCTTAAAATCATTCTTTAATCAGTCACATTCTTTCAATTTCAGTATTTCCATTATAATCCTTAGAGTTTTTCTTTTATAAACAGATAACGTGGGTTTTGGTATCAAAGTCTTGGGTAAGGCATCTGATTTATAGTTGAGAGTTTTGTCAATTGGGGATGTGCTAGAATCAACCTTTGCTAAACAAAATTGTTCTTTTCTTTGATTTCAGTTCCACTCATTCCGGCAAAAAATGTCATTGGTAGTGATGGCAATGGGGTAGGGGTGGGGCGGGGGATCCTTCCCCGTCCCCCGCCCCGTTGTCAAATAACTCCCCCTGTCCCCGGCCCCTTGCCCCCCATCCCCCGCCCCGTTTCCCCCGCGGCCCCCCGCGGTCCCTTGCGAGGAAAGAAATCAACTTACAAAAAGCAAAACTCTTCTCATATGTCCAAGCATTTTTGAGAAGTAACACGAGAGAGGAAGAATTCCCAAACACTAACCAAAAATACCAAGAACAGTTAAAATCCAGAAATAATAAAAGGCAAAGATCAATGGAAAACATAAAAGAGAAAATCAGCCAAATGAAGGGGAAAACAAAGCCATGGTTGTTGAAACTGCTTATAAAGATATCATAGGCCATGGAAAGAATTATTGTTCCATTAGGCTCTTGTATTTACATTTTCATTAAGGCTTTTAGACAAACATCTTTTCATAGGTCATGGTTGTTACTTACTTTTGTGTGTGTGTGTGTGTGTGTATATATTTTTTTTATGCGGGGGACAGGGCGGGGGATAGGGCGGGTGTACGTTGCCCCATCCCCTGCCCCATTTTAAGGCAGGGGTAAATATTCCCCCCACCCCCGGCCCCGCCCCATTTCTGCCTCCGCGGGGCGGGCACTCGCCTCCATTGCCATCCCTAGTCATTGGCATTGCCATCTTGTTTGCTTTCATCGTTTATCGGTGTCGTCGGAGGCATTTATCGAGGTATGATACAATAGAAGATTTCCTACAAACAAACAGCAGACTCATACCCATTAGGTACTCATACAAATTAATTAAGACAATGACAAAAAATTTGAGGAGAAATTAGGTCAAGGAGGCTATAGTTTGGTTTACAAAGGCAAATTGCGCAGTGGAGGTGCAGTTCTGTCAAGATGCTGAACAAATCAAAAGCTAATGGACAAGAGTTCATCAATGAAGTTGCAACTATTGGAAGAATACACCATGTGAACGTGGTTCAGTTAGTGGGATTTTGTGTTACTGCCTCAAAACATGCTCTAGTGTATGATTATATGCCAAATGGCTCTCTGGACAAGTTAATTTTCTCAAACTGTCAGAATGGTTCTCCATTGAGTTGGAAACAAATTTGTGAGATTGCAAAGGGGGTTGCTGGTGGGATTGAATACTTGCATCAGGGGTGTGATATGCAAATTCTGCATTTTGATATTAAACCGCAAAACATCTTAATCATTGAGAACATTGTTCCAAAAGTTTCAGACTTTGGACTTGCAAAACTTTACCCGATGCAAAAGAGTATTGCAACTCTTACTGCTGCGAGAGGAACTTTAGGTTACATGGCCCCGGAGTTGTTCTATAAAAAGACTGGAAGAGTCTCACACAAGATAGATGTTTATAGCTATGAAATGTTACTAATGGAGATGGCAGGAAGGAGGAGAAATGTGGATGTGCATGCCGAGCATACAAGTCAAATATACTTCCCTTCATGGGTATATGACAAATTCGATCAAGTGGAGGAAATGGAAATCGGAGATCATGCAACTGAAGAAGAAAAAACGATTACAAGAAAATTGATTTTGATTGCATTGTGGTGCATACAGATGACACCTGATGATCGTCCTTCAATGAGAGAAGTTCTAAAAATGCTTGAAGGTGATTCTAGTGGCCTAAAATTACCCCCTAAACCTTGTTTTACCCTCCAGATTCACCCATATCCATGCAAAGAAGCAGTAATAGGTGTTCTTCTGACGAGTCAAAAGTGCCCCTGTGTAGCTCTGTTGCTTTAGAAATAGAGCAGATGGATGACTAAGTAGTACTTTCAGTGAAAGCTTTGTCTAGTAGATTTGTCTTTCAAACTCTTAAATGTGCCACCTACCACCACATAACATTGCAAACTGAAATGTCAGTTTGATATCAATAAAACTGAACGGTAGCACCTTGATATATGCTTCATATATAGTAGAAATACCAGCATCAATCTTTGTGTTTACCTTAACAATTTCTACAATTGTGCTCCAGTACATTTTTTTTTCTTTAAGTGTTATGTTATCTAAAACGAGCAGTATATCTAAATATTTCCTGCAAATTCGTAAGATTGATTTTTTCCAGTAGTGTTGCTGTTACTTGTCAAATCGTTGGTTTAACATAGCCTTGTAGCCTTTTTTCTGTCCTTGGATTTTTCCTTTCAAACGTGTCTTTCCCTTTCATCAACACACTGGATTATGAAAGGCCACATCCAAGTGGATGGATCTGTGTTTTTTTCTTTCCTTGTTAGACCTGAGCGGTCAGCATTTAGTTTTTAATGCATTGATTAACCAGTTTCTATCATTAGAACCCAAATCTCAAAAAAAAAAGAAAAAGAAAAAGTCTGGTTCCCAGAATTCTACGGGTTTATTAGTCAAAAATTCCATCGACAACTTCAATTTGTGGACCCAAAAATCGATAGTACAAAAAAGAATGACTTGACTAATTAAATCTTGATCATGATATATCAATGAAATTTGATATTTACTATGTGATATCAATGAAATTTCGCTCGAGATACACTTTGGTCAACACGTGTACGACCATTGCTCCCAACTTTCCCTCCTTTGCCTTTGGTTACCGCATATCATTTACTCTTTTTTTTTTCATAGTTGTATATATGATTACAATCGAAATCCACTGGGATGGATACAAGAAAAGAGCATTTGAGCATCTTTACAAATAATTCAATAACAACACAGAAAAGGATGAGAACAACAATGTACACATAGTAGGAAAAGTATTAACTTACTTGTCAGACTCTTGAACTTGGCAGCGGATAACATATTCTTCACTTGTAAGAGTTAGCTGATTCATGAACCAGCTACCTTTAGAGCTCTCATTGGATACAGGTTAAAGGATCAAATCTCTCGATTTACATTCTTCTCCAAGATTTCTTGAAAGTTTTACTAGCGGGTGTAGAGATATTCGTTTGATCCGGTGGTAGTTTAGTCCCCGCCGATGATAATTTTTTTTTTCTATCAAATATATTTTATAATTTCATAAAATTTGAGGGAGGCAATTGCCCACCCTCAAATACATGTGGCTTTGCCATTGATTATGCTGCCTGCACTACATATATATATATATATATATATATATATATATATATATTTATATATTATGTGTGTGTGTGTGAATTGGATTCCCAACTCCCTTTAGGCAGAATAATATATATGGGATAATATCAGAATCTTCCCTAAGGTTTCTCTTAATAACACTTAGCACCCTTGAGATTTTAAAAATATCACCTACCTCCCTTAGTAAGTGTAAAATGACTGTATTAACCCTCACTTTATACATTACTCACATATTAAATAAATGGAGTTAAAAAATTAAAGAAAAAGAAATAAAAGTCACTTTCTTTACTTCCCCCTCTCTCGAACAATCTATCTTGTCCATTTTTTTGGATGACTATATGATTTTTTTTTTGTAAATTATTGTAAACTAAAATTTATTTTTTTTTCTTTTGCAGTAGTTGTGGTAAAGTGAGGTATGATTTCTTTCGTTATTTTATTTGATTTTTATAATTATTTAGTACAACTTAAAAACTTGGGTCATGGGTTGAAAAGAGGTTAGAAATAAATAGCATTGAGAAAAAAAATTTGATTTTGATTATATAAAGCTAAATTGGGACTAATGTATTTCTTCATAGGTGTCTATTTTTTAATTTTTGTCAAATTTATATTTTTAGGAGTTATGACTTTTTGATGTGGTGGTAGTATTTAAAATTGTTTTTTGGATGGTGGTTTTTAATGGAGTAAACAAAGTGGCTTAAGAGTATTTTTTATTTAGCAAAAGGAACAAATGGGTGGTTTAGGATTTTTAAAGATTTTGTCATACAGATAGCAAAAATAAGGGAAGTAAATGATATTTTAAAAATTTTAGAGATAGTAAGTGATATTAAGAGAAATCTTAAGGGAGGTTTCTGATATTATCCCTTCATTTTTCTCTTAACTTCTTTGAACTCTGTTTGGAACCCAAGTTTTTTGGCTAGTTTATTTGCTACTAGTTTTTTAACAACTTTAGCTACAGGAACCCAAAAAAACTTATCAAATTTTTAACCTACACACTTCAAAAATATCTAATACACAAAAAACCCTCTCTTTTCTTCTTCTTTCTCCCCCATTCCCCCGTAACCCCCTCCTCTCTCCTGGAACCAGCAGGGGAGGGGATTTTTAATTTTCATAAACTGCAAATTTTAATTGTCATAAAAAAGTATTAATGATAATAACTACCAAGTAAGTGCTAAAGTCTAGATTGCAATGCCTTCCACATAACAAAAGTTTAGATTGGACTCCCTTAACAAAAAATGAAAAAAGAAAATGAAAGAATAAAAAGTCTAAATTGGGTGGCTAGTCAAAAGTCAATTGAGGTTAATGGTAAAGTTTTTCTTAATAAACAACTCCAGCAGTCAAGTTTAGATTGGATTCCCATAAACCTTTACCAAGAAAGGAGGTTAAAATTTACTAGTTAAGGTGCATTCATTTGCTCTAAAACCTTACCAAGCCGCACCTTCTCCTCTGCATATCCGGCTGTTTTTAGTCAATTATTAATAGCATGTTGCAAGTTCAGATTTTGGTAATTTTGCTGTCCCTAATCTAGATTTACTTTTTGGTATCCCGATTCAGATTTGATACTATTGTCGATAGCCATTGTTTCGAACTTGGTTATCATACCTTCTATTCCAAACACACCAACTGTGACCATAGCCCATCTTCTTGCAGAGGCACTGATGTCAGTTTAAAGTGCCCGTTTCAGTTTGTGCCCTTATGCTTTGGTGTTCTCTTGTGACCATAATCGCACAGTACTTCCCTTAACAACGGTTGTTGATGGGGAGGAACAGCACTTTTATGCAGATCTAGACAGCATTGACTACAGCAAAACGAACACTTCCTATATTTGATCCTGGAGTGCAAAAGGACTACTGTTCTACTCTTCATTTACCTCTACTTTATTCATCAATTTCTTCTATTCGATTCTTGTATTTGCAGAACATTGGAAGCTATTAATACACAAGACTTTCAGTTGAAATTAACCTTTAGCATCTTATTCTAACTCAGAGATCACTGCCAATCCTGAAGCCAAATGTCTTCTATGCAAGCTTGGATTACTTGGATTCATGGGATCTGTTGAGGTAAAAGGACTTGGGGAAGACTCGGACTTTCTCCATTTCCTTCAAGCATCTGAAGAACGAAGGTTATGGAAGGACGATCCACAGGGTTCCACTGAATGCACCAAAGTCCCACAATTGCCAATTTTTTGGCAATGACATCCACTCCATCTTCCTCAACTTGGATTCTCAAGTCTTCCCCTTGAACCAACCGTCCGTAAACCCATTCGGGATAGTACACTTGGGCTAACATTTTGCACATTGGCATCAATGTTCTTCCGTCGTCCAACCATTTCAAGCAACAGCATCGCAAACCTTAAGTACAAAATCAATATAATTGTGCTTTTTTTTAATTCTCCCGTCCCTTTTCATACCTTTTTTACTCTCAACTACTTGATACAAGATTTAAACCTTAAATCCAATAGTTAGAAGGACTCTAAAAACCCTTCTTGATCATTAGACAAACCCCAGAAGCTAATCGTACTTTGATGAGTTATAGAGAATTAGGTCTATATCATTTTGTCCTATGTTACAGTTGAATCTAGAAAATGTCGTAACTTTTGGGGCCCTCGTATTGAGATGCACTACTTGCTCCTGTCCTATGTCACAGTTGAATCTGGAATATTAATTATTAAGATCAGGTTTAGAAAAGTGGCTATAACTTTTGGGGCCATCGTATTCAAGTGGTCCGTTTGGAGTATTAACTCTATTGACATTGAATTTCTATAAAGAAAAATCAGGGTAAAATTAAAAATTTTCTACTATCCAATACCTGTGATCGACAATTTTCTCGATCAATAGGGGAGCATTGACAAGTTAGTGGGGGAAAAACAAACAATTTTTAAAATTCTATATCTAGACTTGGAATTTTGCCAAGCCTCACTAACCCCGTAAATTCCTAAAGAATGTCAATTTTCAAACGAAATTTCCAAAAGGTGATAGTTATGATACCTCTCCCAAAAAGGTGATTTTTGACTGAATTTAATGTCTCCTCAATTTGATTCACATAATGTGTCTTTAATTTTTCAAGATATTTATTCCTCAGAAGTTGTATTGACTGAATACATTTTTTAAGGAGCCTATTCACAGCATATGTTCTTTTAATAAGCCTCACAATTTAGGAACTCTTTCTAAAAGCCATCATCATTTGGGAATTCACTCTCCACTAATCAAAAGAGTCGAAGAGTGTGAATTTTTAAAAGAAATCTTCTAAAGGTAATAGTTTTCAAACCTCTTCCGAAAGAGTAAAAAAGTATTCATTGAATGCAATATTTCTTTGAATGTTGTATTCACAAAATGCGTTCTTTGATTTTCTCGGCAATTAGTCATCAAAAGTTGAGATCGCTAAATATGTTTTTTTAATTCATTGAATATATGTTTTACAAAAATCTTACTATTTGAGAGCTCTTTCCGAAAATCATCACCACTCAAAATTTACTCCTCACCAAGACGTAGATCGCCGCTAGTCTTGTGGCTCTCAGTACACCACAACCAATGTTTTAAAATCAAGCTCGGACTATCTGGTCCAATCGATTGAACCATCAATCGGGTTGTTTTTCAAGTTATTAAGTTAAAACTTAGAAGCTTAAAAAACCGTTCTTCCCAAACCGCTCCGGTCTTGTATTTCTCTTAAAAGTTGCGGCCGACAAT